CCCCAATTTTAGAACTTTCAAAACTTTCCCAGTATTTTCAGGACCCCTTTCAAAGTCTCAATCTTCCTTCTTTTATAATTCTTCAAAAGGTTCCTTGGTATCTCTTCAAAATGTGTTTTGATTTGATGTATTTCCCCAAGAGATGCATCCTTTTGCAATAATTTTCGTCCCCACCTTTTAAGCCAATAGGTGCCTCAAAACCCTCTTTAAAATTTGTAAAAACCAAATTTACTCATCCAAAAACTGCCACTGGCGCGTAAGCGTGAGCCACTGGCGCGTAAGCGTGAGGCCTCTGGCGCTTAGGTGCAGCCTTCTTTGTTTAATCGGTGCTTAAGCGTCAGATCTAACGCTTAGGTGCCAAAACTTATTTGCACATTTTTCATAATTTTTCATCAAATTTGATCCTTTTTCAATTCTTTAAGCATTTTTCACCTTTTTATTTATATCTGCAAGAAAAACACAAAAATAACTTCCATTAAAGCACAATATCTCAAAAATTCCATTAAAGCGCAATATCTGAAAAATAGGTATAAAAATGTGTCTAAAAACACTATATATTTTAGGCGTATCAGTCAGTCTCAGCTCTCCAATGTATATAAAAGGGCAAACTCAATAGACTCTATGAATCAATCAATCACAATGACTCACACGAGTCAGTCAACAAACACACATGCAAAACACACAACACATAAAAAAGAAAATAAACGGATTTAAAAGCAAGTATTTTTGTTTATTTTTTAGTTTTTTTAGCACATAAGAAATTACATCATAATACAAGATAAAATAAATATAAAATAATAGAAAAAAATAAAATTACTAAACCCAGATTCTCAGTTGTTCAACAAAAGTTATCCTAAAAGTAGAATTTTTCTTGACGCCTTTCTCCGACAATAGCACCAAGAACTTGACAACTTGAAAATTTATGGTCTGAATCATGCAATTATATGTGTCAAGTAATAATATAGTTAAAGAGTACCACATATTGATATTTTTAGGTAAGTGTTAAAATTATTTTGGAGGGCGAAACTCTAGTTTACTATACTTCTAATCCTAATTTAGCTTGATCATAAACAAGAGGTGGTAATTTAAAATTTTACTTAAAAGAAAAAACTAAAGATAACAAATTTGAAAAAGATGAAAAAATAGTTGTAGATAAATTTTACAATTCTTCAAGGTATATGAGGTTTGCGCCCCTGTGATTTAGGTGATATGGTGATTCATGGCTTTTCAAGACTTCCCCCTATGTGATAGTTGTCAGCATGTCCCCTTTCAAGATTACAAAACTCAGATACAATATGCCAATTTTTATTTAGATTTTATGGTTAATCATTTTGTTCCTCTATGAAACACGCAGGATTCATAGATCACAAAATATATTAACATGGTCAGATTAGAAATAAATGAAACCTTACGGTTAGAACAACAATGAAAAAGCTTCGATTTCTTAGGAAAATGATAAATGGAAAGGAAACGTCCGAGAAAACTAAAAAAACCATATATCGTGAATTATAGTAACATGAAAGGAAATTTAGCTACACATGTTAGAAAGAACACAAGAAAAAACATTTCATTGAAATTATCATTATAAGTAAAACTAAAAACAAACTTGAAAAACAATTCATTCCCTCTTCTACAATGACCATCTCCCCTCTCATACAATAAACCTCTCAAAATATATAAAATACAAAGAAAAAGGTAATGAAACACCCTTAGCACCTCAACCTTAGGAGAGGAAAATAATCTTAAGGAAAAACTCTATAAAAGTCTCCCTTCTTGCTCTTCAGCTGTCTCAAGGTCTCTCCTCTCACAAAATATGCCATGAGGAACATTTTTATAGCTTAACTCATAGCTCTGTGAGAAATTTGTTACCAAAATAATTTCCCGCTCTGTTGGCATGGTCACACCCACCTTCTAAATTGATCACGATGCCTCCTTGCAATTCTACCATGGTCACACCGAAATGTGGCGAGGTCACGCTGTTGGTGACAATATCTTAGCGCGGTCACGTCTCTTATAGCTGTGGTCATGCCACTTTAGGTCACTTTTATGTTGGTTCTTTTCACTCCAAAATACACATATTTAATTCATGAAACCTGCACAACATCAACAAAACCTTTCACAAGTATAAATTTGTGATGAATCAGTAAAAATAACATATAAAATGTAGGGTATAAAGTAAAGAGAAACATATAAAATTGACTCATGTCAAAAAGTATAGTCACTTAAAACAATATTCTCACAATTCTCATTAAGCAAACAATAGTAAAAGAATATAGCTTCTTTATCAATATGAACTTAGTTTTGAATATAAACATTATTAACCAAAATTTCTTTGATGAAGTTAGAATTATGTCTAACCTTAGCTCTTTGAAAAAGAAATTTAACATCATCCTCACCTTTAGATAACCAAGTACATTTGACTCTTTGCTTAGCTCATTTATAATCACAAGTAGTAGCTTTAAAAATAGCCTATTTAAGTAATAAGCTTGAGCAAGAAGATCCTTGGAGAGAGGAGAAACATCAAGTTGAGAAAAAAAATCAAATTATGACTACTTTTAAGCTCAACTATCCGTTTCGATAAAAAAAATGTATGAACTCTATTGTCAACTTTTAAGAGCATGCTTAACATCTTAAAGTTTATTGCAAAAAGAAAAGATATGATCACCTTTAACAGGAATATTCCAAACAATAATGATTTGAACAAAATTAGGACAAAGAGACAAATAATTTTTGAATATAAATGTACAATGTAAAATAGAAGCATTTCCCAAAAAAACCATGATAAGATGATAATAAAAAAAAATTATCATTTAAAACTTTAAAAAAGAACCCAGGAAAAGAATTAATCCAAATTGAGTTACAAAGAGCCCTATCCATAAGACATCTAATGGGATTATTAAGTTAATTATTAAACCAACTAAAAGATGACTAGACTTATGAAGCTCAATGAGACCAACATTATAAATATAATTAGTAATATCAAACAATTTACTAAGAATAGGAGGAGATCCTCCTACCTTCTTTTTAATTAATTTAATACAATTAAAGTGACCCATCAACATCCAAGGATCATAAATATCATCAGCTATTGAAATAATGGAATCCCAATAATATTTTATATTGGAAGCATAAATATCTGCATAAATAATAGTAAAAATGAAGTTAATAGAAGAAAACAAATTAATAAGCCCATGAATAAATTGAGGATGAATATTAATAATAGAAAAATCCAGAATATCCATATTCTATTAATCCAAATTATCCTATTATCAGAGTTTTTAAAATTATCAACACAAGCTACATTTAAGAAAATAAATAAATTGCTTTAAAACCTTAGTATTAGATAAGGTAGAATTGGATAATTTAGTCTCTAAAAGACAATTAAAATCAATCTTTTAGTCTTTTAAAATATTCTTGCAATCCACAATATGAGCTTCACTATTAAGCCCCCTAACATTCTAAGAAGCCAATTGGATAAAATATAATTAAAAAAGGGAATCAAAACAAACAAATAAGATTGTTCATTTAGATCTACCATTTCTTGCCCTTGAAGAAACAAGAGTAGAAGAAGGTATACTACTAGCATGATTCATATTAAAATTATTACTAACAGAAACAAGATTTAAAATATAAATAACATATATGTAAAATTTTCACCGTTAAAGCTTGAAGAAACAATACTATTATTAGTCGCAGAAACAATGTCCACATTAGTAGCATCACAAAATTTACTAGAAGCAATTCCAACATTATCAATATTAGAAGTCGAAGTAACTGCAATTGCACTAATATAAAAAATTTCCATATTAATAATAGCGAAAACATTAACATTAGCAACTAGAATAACTCCAATGTTTGAATATCTGAAGTAGAAATATTATGTATATCATTTAAGTGTGCGTCTAATCCATTATCAACACTATTAACCAAATCAACAGTAGAATTACAATTAACATCAAAATTTACCTCATTAAATATAATAAAGGATGAAACAAAGGTAATATTATCATAAAATTCATTACTTAAATAAGCACCATTTACTGGGATATTAAGATTATGGGCTATCACCTGCAAATTAATACTATTAACGTTGATGTCGTTAGCATGCAAAGGTCTAGCAGTATTCACAAGTTTACAATAGTACCTTTGATTACCAAAACCATACTCCTATTGTTATTTCTTCCTCTGTTTAATGATATGACAACATTACCAAAATCAGTAGAGGAGTCAGGACAATTTGAAGGATTATGAGCATATGTAGAACAAATGTTGCAAGGAACTAGTTCCATTCATATATTACAATGATGACTATGTCTTTATCCTTAGCTTTAAGAATAACATAATAAGGCAAAACCAAATCAACATTAACTCTAGCATAAGTAAGGTTCTTTTAGCAATCAATTGATCAACTGTTAAGAGAATACATATCTTACTCTCAATTTTTGAAATGTCATTTTCTGACTAACAAAATAGAATGAGATATGAGAATTTAACTCACATTGAAACTTCTTTAAAATCTTCTTAAACTAATTGAAAATCATGAGACCTTTTTTTTGAAAAACAAATATTTATCCCCAATAAACAAAGGTCCTCTTGAGAGAACCATCTCCAAATTCTTAAAACAGTTAAATTTAAACAAGAAAAAACCTTAAGTAAAAAAAAGATGTTCAACGAAACTTTTTTAGTTTTCTTAGCATACCAATAACTTGAATAAGATAGTCATAGAAGTGTCTTTTACCTCACGCGCATCCAACTAGCACAAAAACCCCAAAGAGCAATAAAATAAAAGTACACAAGAAAAAAAAAAGGATTTTTTCTTTTTAAGAAAATTTTAACATCGTCCAAGAATCACCCAGAGCGCCGCCTTTACCCTAGAAAATCTCAAGTCTGCATCATTCATGTGTAAATAAGAATTTCGTGGCATGCATTAAAATGCCCCAAAATAAATATCTGTTCAATATTGAATATTACGAGATACACAAGTTAAAAAAATTGCCTTTTTAATAACAAACTTTAAATTTGGTAACTTTTAGACGTTAACAAGCTGGAGGGAGTGGTGTAGACAGAGGAACATCTGCAACTCCCAAAGCTCGTCTTCCGAAAATCAGCGACCGAGCTTTGTCGATAGGGTGAAGGCAGATTTGGGCGAATTGCGGTCCTTTACAAGCATTGCTTTGGATTCCGCAGAACTTAACGCCCAAATCTGTAGATCTAGGCAATGTCGGGTTCTCTAGCCGGACTACAAGATCATCTCAAGCTTGCGAGGGACTACGCGCTCGAAGGCCTCTACGACACTTCTATCATCTTTTTTGATGGCGTTATTGCACAGATCAACAAGTAATCTTCCTGTTTTCCTTGCTTATTGACCTAAGAAAGGCATGCCAAGATTTTATCTGATTTTATTTTTTTCGTTCTTATATATTAGGTTATGTTTTCGATGAGGGCTCTTTTCTGTTCTCGTTGCATTAGCGTTTCCTTAAGTATTATGTCATTTTTTTTGGGAGACAGTTCTAAGATTTTTTACTTGTTGCCTTAGGTCTTGGTTGTACTGATATTCTATGTTTTTACCATCTTGAAATGATTTAGGAGAGAGGATCAGTCGTGCATTCAAATTTGTAGCTTCAAACTGAAATTGTTCAACTGAATGGATTAGTTTTGCATTATAATTTCGTTGCTTCAACCTGGACAAGTTAGTCATAAGATCATCTGCAGATCCTCCTATTTCTCTCAAGCATTGCAGAGCTGGGTGCTCTCGGAACAAGAAACATATATATGGAGGCTCCTGAGCCCATGAATATTCTTAAAAATCAATCAGTTTCGCTTGAAAATTGTCTCAAGAGGAAAATTATCAACAGAACTCTCCCCACCCTGAAAACATACAGTATTGGTCAAAATATTAGAACCGTTTTTCTAGTTGTCTTATTGCATAATGGAATCTGTGCCTAATTGCCGGATTAACGACAAAATATGTGGGAATGGGGAGAGCCAACCTATAACAACTTAAATAATAGGGGAAGCAATGTTTTTTTTTTAATGGAAATCACCTAATAGCACAAATTGATTTTTGTACAATATCCTTGAGATCCACATCTTTGTTGTTACATTCTGGCAAACCGTTCGGTGGAAAAACTTAATTAGGACCTTTACTAAATTGCTGTAGAATTAATGATGGATTGACCCTATAGGTTTTATCGGCTTTTTGCTCAATGTACGAGTTAGAATTAGAGTCTCTCTAACATGTTCTTTCCTCGTTCTGCGAGCAAAATCTTTCCAAGAAATTTGCCTTGTAATATTTCTGAAGCTACTCGAACATGAAGTGAGCTTTCTCTGATATTCATGTAAAGCACACTTCTTTTGCTTGAAATATTTGTAAGCCATTTGAATACCCTGCTTTCTTTATTCCTATCCTTAATTGGTTAGCAATAAAACAGTTAGCTCTATGACGCTGATCTAGTAGGAACTCAGGCTTTAATTTCTTTGTAGCTGCTTTATTTCCATGATGATGTAAAGTGCCTTTGAACAAAGTTTATCTCAAACAAGAGTATGTTGATTTCTCTCAGGCATCTGAATGCTCTTGATGATGCTGTTATTCGCACAAAATGGTTGAACTGCAAAAAGGCCATTTCGGAGGAAATAGAAATAGTTAAGCAACTTGATGCTGAAATAAGGGCCTTCAAGGAAATTCCAGGATCGAGGAGGTCCTCATCTCCACCACTTCCTACAAAAGCCTTTGTTTTCCAACCATTGGATGAATATCCAACATCAAGCGCTTCCTTGGATGATCCTGATGTGTGGAGACCACCTAGTCGAGATAACCCACAATATGGAAGTAGAAGATCAACTAGGAGCAGTCCAGCTAGTGCACGGAAGTCTTCAGATGCAACATGGGCACGCGGTTCATCTAAGTCTGGAATTGCTGGCCGCGGTGCCAAGTCTAATGCAAATAAAGGTAGCTCAGGTGTTAGATCCTCAGCTTCCTCTGGGTTGACAGGGAAAAAAGGCAAATCAACTAGCAAGTCAGACTCGCAGGTTATTTCTCATTTAATTATTTTCTTTATTTTGTTTACAATTTTTTTATCGGTGTATGATTATGAATTGTTTGGTTATTTTTATTTTTATATCTTAATACTGTCTATTTATATTCATGGACTAGCTATTTACTAATGTTTTTTGTATTTGGTTTCTGATTGATTTAGCTTTTTCAGGGTGATGCTGAAGAAGGAAAGATAAAAAAGGGACAATATGAAGGGCCTGATCCTGATTTGGCTGCAATGCTAGAGAGGGATGTCTTGGAGACAAGCCCAGGTATAAGATGGGATGATGTTGCAGGACTAAGTGAAGCGAAAAGACTGCTAGAAGAAGCTGTTGTGCTCCCTCTATGGATGCCTGAATATTTTCAGGTACATCAATTTGGTTCAGGGTCGAGCAAGGCAACACTACCTTTTTTTCTATATTTGCAAGAATATTTTGTTATTAAATGGTAAGCTGTTGTTTGATTATAAATGATATAATTTTACCATTTTCGGCATTATTTTGTGAAGTTGCACAAATGTGTGACTTTGTATAACATAATTCATGTTAAATGTGCTGAAGTCATATTTCATATTAGGACTATAAGGACATCTTTCTATATTCCGAGTGAAGCATGTGATCTTTAACTATTGTTTTGTAGTATTACGTAAATGTAGGACTATAGTACATCTTTTTCATTTATTGAGTTCCGAGTACTTTTTTTTAGTGCTGGTAATAGAGGATATAAATTAAGATTCGTGCAATGAAGCCTGGTGAGAGATTTTTTTTTTTTTTTTTGGAATCAATTGATGATGTGCTATATAAAGTGTTTTTTGTGTCAAATTAATTAAATGAAAATTGAACAAAGGGACTATAGTACATCTTTTTCATTTATTGAGTTCCGGGTTTTTAGGGAACTTCTTTTTAGTGCTGGTAATAGAGGAATATAAATTAAGATTCGTGCTTAAGGTTCTTGAAAGGAAGCCTGGTTTTTTTTTTTTTTTTTTTTTTTTTTTTTGGAATCAATTGAAGATGTACTATATAAAGTGTTTTTTTGTGTTAAATCAATTAAATGAAAATTGAAGAAAACATAAAAAGGGCATTCATTTTGGTTTTATTGACTT